AAATTCAACGAAATTGAACAGTAAAAATTTCACACATTTACAGAAGTCGTTCACAAAAATTGGAAAGTTTAAACAAACTCAGCTGTGATGATCGTCGAAGGCAGCGCATGCGCATTTACTGAACTCTATGTAACTGTAATATTCTCACACTCCGCAAGGAAACGAGAAAAAAATCGCATAACTCCGAATAGAGGAAATTTCCAAGAATGAAATATCGACGTATAAGACGCACCCCGTTTTTCAGATCTATTTTCAAAGAAAAAAGTACGTCTTATACTCCGGCAAATACGGTACTATGCCAAAGAATAAACGTGCATTGCCTTAAACTAGTAAGAAAATGGTCTATCACGGAAGAAAGTATTGAGATGTGGGGCCTAGAAAATCGCCAGAATGGATTAATTGTAACAAGAAACAGTGTACAATCATTTCCCTTAAAGTAGGCAAAAAGAAATGCAAACGAAAGTGAAAACTTTTAAAACAATTTCGAGTTAGTGTTATCGATTTATGGCAAGTAATAATTTAGTTCTATGAGAAAGAAACAAAAGTTTCTCAAAGACTTCCAAAAGATTTGAATATGATATGTTTCCAGAAGTATGTTATTGACCTAAGAAGGGAAAACAAACTCTTATTGTTGCATGTTGGATGAAACTTCAGTAATGTTTGATACGATAAAAAATAAAACAATTGATGTAAAAAGAACAAAAACGGTTCACATAAAACAACAGAAGCATTTCATCTCAACTTAGTGCTTCCCTGCTTAGTGGATGGTACAAAATAAAACCCCGTGATTATTTTTAAATGAAAGACGATGCCGAAATATTTTCCAAAGTGTTGTTTTCATTCATGTTCACGAAAAAAGATGGATGGGCAAAAGCAATGTGAAATTGTGGATAAGAAATCTTTTGCAATAGCGTCCTGTTGCCTTAAAACATCCAGAAAGTCTTTTACTTTGGGATATGTTTAGATCCCATGTAACGGACAACACGAAGAACTTGAAAGAGCAATCAGACATGGCAGTTATTCCAAGTGGGCTAACGGTATTACTTCAGCCTTTAGATGTGTGTATGAGTAAATCATTCAAAGAAAATCTATAAAGACAGTGGAATATGTGGATGTTAGAAAGTGAATAAACATTTACAAAAGGTGGCCGAATATGTCATGTTAATCTAGAAATAGTGTGTGAGGGAATAATAAAAGCATGGGATGAAATTAATCCTGACATATTCAAAAGTTATTTAAAAATGAAATACACCTAACAATCTAAAACCTAGATAGAACGGAAGATGATGTAATAGTGATAGTGAAGATGAAACAGAATTCGATGATATGCCTAAATGTATAAGAAAAGACGAATATGAAGAACTTTTCATATTTATCCGTTAATGAAAATTTTCAGTTCATAAGGTATGTCATTTCTTCCAAATAAACAGCATTTGGTACATAAATAAATTTAATTTTTGTATTCTCATCTTTTCCTTATTTTAAAAATCGATCATTTTTATATCAGGCATATAACGCGCACTCGTAAATTTCGAACTTATTTTTTTCTTTTAAAATTGCACATAATGCACCGGAATGTACGGTAATTAATTTACGCATTATCCCGTCGACCATGAAAAATTGGCTAATATCTGGCCAAATTGGCGCCAATTTTCCGGAGAAAGATTGGAGGAACAAATTGCTATGGACTGAGGCAGATAATCATACATCGCTGTTTATTTAATTAGATAATCAACAAATGCAAGTTGTGGATATAATTTATAGAAAACGTAAACAAAGATTACATCAAGTCTTGAAATTATCTGGCAAATAAAGTTTGTTATAAACTTTCCTCATATTCTGCCAGCAAGGAGAGCTATGAAGCAGGCAATTTCTTTGCGAATTCAATTCCAAATAGATTCATGTAAATGCGAATCTGAGTAGTGTTGCTATTGCTGAGATGTGTTTCTTATCAAGCTATTTTACTGAACCTTGTTTTGATATGCGCATCAATATTAACCAGTTCTGTAACTTTATACTGAGTACTCCTCTGCTTACTTTTCTGTTAAAGAAAGGTCTTAAATTTTAATATTTTTTAATTCAAAAGAAAAACAAAGAAACGGCAATCAGCTTATATCCTTCTTTACAAAATCTTAACTGGCTTATTAAGGATAAGGATTCTCTAAAACCAAAGAAGAGATATTATTAGCTCGTTGCAATATCACGCTTGTCCAGTATTGGAGCTAAATCACATTGCTTGAGGACAGTTTTTGCTTGTATCAATATTAACCAGTTCTGTAACTTTATACTGAGTACTCCTCTGCTTAATTTTCTGTTAAAGAAAGGTCTTAAATTTTAATATTTTTTAATTCAAAAGAAAAACAAAGAAACGTCAATCAGCTTATATCCTTCTTTACAAAATCTTAACTGGCTTATTAAGGATAAGGATTCTCTAAAACCAAAGAAGAGATTCAGAAGTCTAAACAACAAAAAAATCAGCGTTATACCTACAAAATTTTCACAGGACTAGTTTCGATGGTTCGGTATAAAACCATCGAAACTAGTCCTGTGAAAATTTTGTAGGTATAACGCTGATTTTTGTTGTTTAGACTTCTGAATTAGTATTTATTCGGCGTGTTATTGTGTCTTAATCAAAGAAGAGATATTATTAGCTCGTTGCAATATCACGCTTGTCCAGTATTGGAGCTAAATCACATTGCTTGAGGACAGTTTTTGCTTGTATGAAACGATCAGCAGAAAAATACACGAGTACCAATTAGTAGCCAATACAAATTTCTTAATTAATTAAGTTTTATAACCACCATGAATTATCTTTCTCTTGTTTCATCTATAAAAACAAAAATTTAGTTTAATTAGTCATATGTTGTACAACATGTAATAAACTGAAACCGTGAAAACATAGCATAAAAAATAATGAAATAACTTTTTAATTTAAATAACTTTAAATAAAAAATATTAAATTGTTAGGTTATTTTATATAATGCGCACTGGTAATACGTTTTGTATTGAAACTAAAATTAGTCAAACCAAAATCAAATTTTTCTGAAGGCTTTCAGATTTGTAAATCGAACGCTGCATAAAATCGTCTTTTCGATTGCATGTCACATTAGTTTTTATGTTACTTTAAACAAATCAACTTAAGATTCTGTATATGCTGTGTGATAAATAACAAACAGTATATATGAATTTTAATTCCTGTAACTGTTTGAAACAGGAATTGCTTAAATTGTTATATAACTTTCTTTTACCTTAACATGTATATTTGCTTTGTGTGTAAATCTAGCTTTACGTTATTTTGGCTAATTTATTAGTTAAGAAACATATTTTAATTTTATAAGAAACTTTTTATTATTATCTTAAAAATACTGGAAAAGTTCAAAAAAAATATTCATTCGTTATTTCTATATTGTGTGGCTTTAAGAAAGGTTGTAATCGCCCTAAGAGGTATAGTGGTTAACATTGCTAGCTGAAAATTCATTGTACCCGGATCGAATCCCTGGGAATATTACCCGACTCTTGAATGTTTGTAAGTGCGTAGGAACTTTGCAGCATGGTGGCATTTAAAACACATAGCGAGCGAAACGCCCTTTGAGTTGTTTGGTTGCAGACGAAAAGGGATTTAGAGACCTTTGGACTCGCCCCTCGAGAGATTCTTCGTCAAAATTGGAGCACATCTGGATAAAGTCATACTTTACCTCTAAGCTGACCTCTAAGCTGCCTAAAGCCCAAAAAATTTGTGGACTTGTTCTGATGTTATGTCAAACAAGTAATACAAATCACAGCACCAAGAGAGATAGTTGGTTGTCAAATCTTGTATGTTTGTTCGTTTGAATACGACAGATCCCATGAGGATTGCCTGCTTAAATGAAGAAAGCTTTCATATAAGACTTCCTAAGAGAAATTAACTCATATTTACTTTATGCATGGGCTAAATCACGAAATCTACTACGCAATATGTGATTCTGGTTTAGATCGGATAACCATATTTCGTCGATCTTAACCACTGGATTGTATGTTGTTTGGTTAATAGTTTTTCGTAATTTAATTACTGATCTTGAGTGCCTTGTCAATTAGGACCACAATGTCTAGGGAGAGATGTCGTAGTGAAGGTTATAGTTAGTTAATTGTTAAGGTAAGGACTATCTACTTAAAGATAAAGATGCCTCGAAAGAATTTTCTGCTGCTAGCTAGTTTGTATTCACGTTACATATGGTAAAAAGCCACATGTCCCATGTAAGCTGCCCATTCAGGATGAATCGAACCTAGGATTAAGCAAGTGTTTAGGTATCTTATCCACTCGATTGCTGGTGGGACCCGGACCTTGACCTGCTCGTGGGTCCTCGACTGCTGATGGGCTGAAAGATTTAATACTAAGGAAGCCACAGACTCGTAATTTATCTTACATTTAGGGAAAAGGCATGCCAAGAACTCCATGCGGTAAACTGTTTAAACCGATGGCATCAAAACTAAGATTGTGTACCCTTATTAATGTAAAAGACTGTCGGCAGGCTCAGTCCAGTGACTTTAACATAACTTCTTGGTAGAAATATACGTACAATCTTCCATCTCCCAATTGTGTTTTCTGTTCCTATGAAACCGTACCTTGGCTTCAGTCCTGATCCTTCTTCTCTGGAGGAGGCTGTAGCCGTTTCTTTCTATGTCTGCTGACTTTTCGTCTGTCCGGTTAATTGGTGTCTCCAAATAAAGCTGTATTTCAGCTTAATAATGCCTTCTTATACACACTATCTGGTCACATCGTGTCAGAAAGATGGTGTCCATCTTGTCGGGTTATAGCCGCAGGAGATTCGTAGATCTCAGCGTATGTAACTAATATCAGTTTTTCCGTACGGCCACTCTCTATTAATATTTATTATTTTGTGCTTCCAATTTGTTTCTAAATAACTACATTTTACGTATTATTACTGCTGTTATTTTTTGTTTGAATTGCTGCCTTATGTTAGGAAAAATAAGTTATTAACCTGCATCTGTTTTTCTTTTAGCCATGAGACGAAGATTTCATCATGGCTTCCGCCAGTGGAATCGTGGGATTCTGGAGGAACAGGACTGCCATATGGTTGGGAAGCAGCCATTGACAAAGAAGGAAAAACATATTACGTCAAGTAAACTATATCATTTTAGGAGTAATTTTTTCTGAAATATATGTTGCTATTGCTGATGTTTTAGCTCGATGCCCTTACACAAAATGACACATATACAATCAAAGTCAGCAGAAAGATTTTCTTTCCTTGGAGAGGAAAATGGGTGGAATTAAAAAAACTGATTTTCTGGAATAATAAATACAAAGGACTTTAAGAAACGTCTTTCTATTTTTTGCTTCACATTGCTTGTATTACTGAAATGTTTATAAATTTATTTAAAGTAACGCACGCCAAACATTTTTCTACTAAACGCAGTAATATGTGCCAATGTTGCCGATTCTATGCATCATGTTCATAAAAGTCCTTACCCTGGTTTTATTTTCGCAACCGTTGGTCGTAGACATATACTTCCACCTACAAGAATGTTTTAAATGACGAAAAGATTCGTGTTTTCGTATTTTTTAATCTAAAAAATATTATAGCTAATGACAAATTTTATATTAAGCAGTGCTACAAAATTAATTTATTAATTTTATAGCACAGCCTAATATAGATTTTAAAGTTTCACGTTCATTTTACCTGGTATTCAATTTTCAAAAAATAATTTCTTCATAATCTTCTGTTCATTAAATTTTTTTTTAAAAGAAAGAAACCCCGAAAAGTTATTTCAACCGTTAGGTTTAGTATACTCTCATATGTTGAAAAAACATTTTTCAAAGTAGTGAATAGATGAAAAATGCAAAATCAACGATCATTCACTTTTTGAAATCAGGTTTACTTTGGAACGCAGCTAAATGAGTTCCTATGCAAATAATTTTAAATGAAATAAAGTAGGTTTCCGTGATTTCTAATAATTGAAAAGAATGAAATCATCGAAACTCTTAATTTACCGTATTTAACTCAGAAAACGTGCGGCTTTCTATCCTGAATACTACCCAATCTTGTATTTATTTGGCCCACGCTTTTCAAAAATTCTTCGTAGACGACCAATGCTACTGGAATTATGAATTAAGTTTAATTACTTCAGCTGTAATTAGACTCAAATGCGCGTCGTTTCCAGGTCTTTTAACTCAGTAATGTCCTTAATATTCTTTAAATTTTGTTCCTGTCTAATTACCAGTGCAAATAAAGAGGCAAATATTACGCTGGAGTTTTCCTGAGAATTAGCTGTTAAAATTTGCCGTTTGGTAGAATCATCTTCAAAAGCTTTTGCTCTTAATCCGTTTACTTTAACTGCAGGGTAATTCTGTGTTTCCCTTTTACTTCCGATTATTTTGCTGTTAAACCTTGTGGCTTAGTTCTCCAATTCATGCTGTCATTCTGAGATATTAGGATTTGCAATTTATATTGGATTTGCAATTTCTGAGATATTACGATTTTTCTTTATGCAATATATTGCCTAGTTATCACTCAGATAGCAGGTTATTTGGTAGCAAGAAAAGAAAAACGTTCAGGAGTACTTTTTCTTTAATAAAAAGATCTGTTGGTTATTCCAATATTTTCCTAAGATTTAACTAGTTAACTTACGACCAATCGAGCTGCATCTTCTCTGCTGGGTAATCAATGGAACATTCATTTATTCCTTGGCTATTTGTTATTTTCTCTTATTTCGCGCATGAATAAGCAATGACTGAGTTCTGGCATCCTTGATGGAATTTTTGCTGCTTAAGATGAAAATGATAATTGAAGATTAGTTATAATTTCTAAAGGTAATTAAAATTTAAATCTCCAAGCTTATATTTGATTCCTAGGTCATCAAAGATTGCAACATATATTTAGCGAATACCACATAAACGTCTTGGGAAACTGCAAAATCTATGTTGTTGTTGTGGCTAATCTCACATGTCTGACATAATCAGAACAAGCCCATGAATTTTATAGCGGCAAGATAGCACCTGTCGTTGGCATGAGCATTGAGTACGATATAGGTAACAGTACAACTTTTGTCCAGTTCCGGCCCAATGTTGAAAGAGAGCACCCCGGGAGCCAAGTCTGAAAGTCTTCCATTCATCTTCCTCTACACCAAAACCACTCGATAGAACTCAGGCTCGCCATATATATGTTTTCAGTGGCCTAATGCCACACAAACACATTACAAACATCCACATCTTTCCCAGGATTCAAACCTGGAAACTTCGGTACAGCAGTCAGCGTCACTAAACACTGCCCCTTAGCTGTTCGGTTTGGTAATAAGCAGAAATTGGTGTTAAAACACACAACTCCTGATATCGCGACTGAATTCGTTGACGGCACCCATGGGATCATTGCTAGTATTAGCAGTACCGGAAGAATATCGCGACAACTGATTTGAATCTGGAAATGGTATGGCGAATCCTTCAGAAAGTTCTTCATTTCTGCCCATGCAAAATAACCCGCTTGCAGACATAACGATTATAGTAAACGGGTAGCATGTTCTCTGATATTTCTTGCCAGGATGAAGATCAATGATGCTTGGCAGTGTAGAATTCTCTGGGGAGATGAGGCCCGATTTCACCTAAACGAAACTGTTAACACTCTTAATTCTCGAATTTGGATATCCATATGATTTCATGAAGTTCAAGAAATCTCACTGCATTTATCAAAATCCCTATTAATCTGACTTTCGAGCAGATTTCATCAGCGGACCATTCTTTTTTTTTTTTTTTTTTATTTCTTTTTTTGAGAACACTAATCTAACATAATCCACACACATACGTGGGCTTCTGGGCAATTTCAATTTGTTCAATTAAGCTTGTATTTTCTGAAACCAAGCTTTTATACAGCTGTTTTTAATGTTATTTAATTAATACAACTTTAATTGGTGAAATAAATCGTGTATTCTTTATCAAACCCACACATTCTCTTTAAAGGTTAATCTAATTGCAAGTCGGGCGTTTTTTCCTTCAGTTTTCTTTTGTTTCTGTAAGAAAAGGAAGAAAAATTACAAATTCAGAAAAAGAGCAATAATTTATTTGTTAAAAAAAATCTAATTACTTTAGGAATCGATAATCTACATCTATAAAAACGTAAAAGAAATTCTTTTTTTTTAGGAAGTACCTAATAAAGAATTCAGCTACCATATTCTTTTTATTGTTATGCTTGTATAGAGGGAAAGAGCTAATGAGGTAGAAATTAAGATTGTATTTATTAATGGATATTTTTTCCGGCTTTCAGTTCAATTTTAAACATCTAAAATTCGATTCAATACAACACTGTAGTTCTTTTTAATATGTAGTTTTGGAAGAAAACTACTTGTTCTTATTTTAAGAAACATATCGATGAAGAAAGCTCCCTCCTTTCTTTATCGGTATGTTCAGAGTATGTAATTAGATTGATTTAAATTATTCTTAAATTAGAAAACAGTTTTTTTAGAAGACCTGGACTCTTCCTTCCCTCCAGAATATTTTTAATATTTTTTATTCCGAATTATTTATAGCCTCTTACTTTAAAATAGGAACTTCAATGTTGTTTTCTAACCCCCCCCCCCTTTTCCGATTTGGCTTGCAACCATGGGAATAACAGCTGTGGAAAAAAAGGTCGACTCGCTTAATGTTTTCCTCCACTTCATTCTGTTTAGTGTATTTCGCTCCATAAAAAACGAACAAAGGACTGATATGCTGACTTGAACTTTAGTCTCAGATGACGTAGTGAAAATAAATGCAGTGCTTTGATGACTACAAGACTTCCTGTCGCGAAAGAGGAGATAACAGTGGCCTTAAATTGCCTATTTTAAAGTAACGGAAGAGAGTTGTGTAGCCTATGAAGTGCTGCTCAAGCTAAAATGTGATGGACGATAATTCGTCAACAACTGGTTTAGTGTTCTTTAATCTGAATAAATGCTCTCTCCTCGGAATCATGCAAATTACTTGAATCTGAAAGAAATACCGGCATGTAAAATATACGAATTCCAAGCTGATTAGAAGTTACCATTTGAAGTAACTTCGTTGGTACTTCGCTTATATATTGAACCTGTGTTCACTTTTTTCTGCAATCTCTTCTCAGATTAAGCTTGGGAAAAAGTCTGCAGAAAAATTGTCCACCTCCCTTTTTATCAGATTAGAATCCATATACCAGATTGGGATTAAATTTAACGATTATTTTCATTCACACCTGGCATTTATTGGATGATGATTTTCCACGAACGAAGGGTGAGATCATGACCCAGAATAGAGTACTTCATGATATATCAAATATACTAGTTACCTTTGGTCAGAAACGTATCCTCCCTGCTGTTTCAGAATGTAAACCTTTCTTTGAAACTCTGAAGCTGGTACATAATTGACTTTCAACTGCACTAAATGATATCTAGAACGTAACTAGAGGTAATATTTTATCTTTTCACACATAGTGTTCATTATAATCCTTATGATCCTTTATTTTTGCAACCTCTGATCGTAGATATATACTTCCAATAAGAAAAATGGCTCAAATATTCATAGTTGAACATTTTTTAAATTAAAAAAGTCAATACAGATAAGGAAATCCAGACGAAAACGGGTAAGAAACAAAAGTCAAGATAAAAAAGTCGGGACAGAAAAGTCAAGACAGAAGGGTTTTTTCATCTGTGGATTCGTCATAGAGACGACTCTTTCGCCCTTTTTGATGGCAATAAAGAAGATTTATCCCAGTTTGTATCTGTTATGAATTCGATTATTCCTGTCATCTAGTTCACTTTTGAAACTGAATCATGCAAAACCTTCCCTTTCCATGGTATTCTTATAATATGCAATGAATCCGATTTCAGCATTACTGTTTACCGTAAACCCCTTTCTGTTTGTTTGCCAACCCCATGCTATGTCGTGTCCTCCGGCTAAGTACAAAATAGTTTTCTTGCCTATGGTTCTTTTTTAAAGATTCCATTTCTGACTTTTATTCTTGGGGAATTTATAGCATCACGGATTCCCCAGAAGTTCAATTCTCGAGTTATATTTTCGCCTATGGTTGAATTCTTAAAGATTCCATTTCTGACTTTAATTCTTGAGGAATTTATAGCATATCTTTCGAGTGGTGTTTGAGATATATCAGCCGTCTAAAAGAGCTTTAAAGTTTCGCATCAAGAAACTCGAATCTTACGTGCGAAAATGAAAAAATTAATGAGTCTTCGATATCTAATCATAGTTGAAAGTTCAGTTATAAGTTTGAATTTGGGTCTGTAAAATTTATCCAAAAAGGCCTCTTCTATTGATGAATTGGATTTTCTTGAATCTTTTCACATTCCCATCTTGTTTAATTAATGACTTGAATTCTAATCCACTTCTACTTAACGCTTTTAAAATTCTATTACCTTAATTTTTATATTTTCTTTACTATTTTTACTAACAGATGTCTATTTCCGACTATTTAGCTGATAGCTTCTCATTCGCTCTACCCCTCTTGGTTATGAATACAGCCATGGCTTTCCCTTCGTTGCAAATCTCTTGATTTCTGATGAAGAGGTATCTTGGATCTCTTTGCTTCTGTACCTGTCTGCCTTCGAAATCGATTAAGTATTGATAAAAACACTAGGTTGTGTCTTTACCTAATTTTATGATTAAAAACATGTCGAACTAAAATTTACGAAGTTTAACATTTTATGCATTTTCTAAGTCTCCGCAATTATGTTTAGTACACCTTCTTACATTTTATAATAAGTAAAATATAAAATTTTGTCTTTCGAGCGACGAAAATTGATCGAGATATTTAATTTTAAAATTTGGAATTTTTGGTCCATTTTCGGATTGTCTTGATAAGATCGCTTAAAGAAATTAATCATAACTTCTTGAAGTTCTAATTAATTTTAGACACCGACAGAATTTCCGTACAAGTAAGTTCTAAGTTTCAAACACTAAAAATGCGTTGTTAATATGTCCATGCAGTGTAATTATTTTAGAATCATAATCTAATATCCATATAAAAAATCCATTAACCTGGAAGTATTAAATCCAGCTATTTTTTCCTAGAATTCGGATTTTATAGACTTTTTGTAATACAATTTTTCTTTTTGGAAAAAAATGTCATTGATCAAATTTTTTATTCCAAGCTACATAGAAAGAAATTCTCGTCACTTTATCTATTACTGTCAGAAAGATTTTTCTAAACCCATATTTCGTTTTTAGTAACTTGCAATTCCAAACATTTCGCTCTTCAATTTGTGTATGACCCCTGAATATAATGTGAAACTTTAAAAACGAATGTTACAGCCAATCTACCGTACGGGAGTCAAAGGTATTATATTTTATTTTTTAAAACGAATACAAATTTTGCTCGATATAATTATAGTAATCAGGAAGCATATGAAACGTATTTGCAATTTTTACAACGCTAAATGTTTTTATTTAGAAATGCCGAAATATGGATATGTGCACTAGTTAAAACATTTAAATAGTTAAAAGTATATGTCTAAGATCAACGGTTGCAAAAAAGCCATATGAGGAATTTTGTTGAAGTGGTGCTTATATGTACAAATTATAATTGATGTCAAGTATAATTGATTGAATACTGTGCTGATTGATAGTTACTGAGAAATATAAATTAGTAAGGAATTTATTGAAATCTTTGATTCCTTTCATACCAGTTCAGAATTCTAAATCCACTTCGAGCTATTCTAAATCCCAATTCAGGAATTTAGAATAGCTCGAAATAATGAAGAGAAGGAACGTTATGGAGGGGTGACATATGTAAATGTGTTGCAAATGAATGGTCAAGAGGGAAGTAGCAAAACACTCTTTAACTGTACTGATGGAGAAAGAGGTTCAGTGTAAAGATTGTTTCTCCTTTTATGTCTTTAAAACTGGGGAATTGGCTTTTACCCCTCATGTGAAGCGAATGAATGTTTCAGTTTTTCCTCACCTGCGTCATGAAAATTCCTTCAGTGTTTGTAGCAAACTAACATTTCGATTTCTTTTGCGGAAATTCTTTGTAATTTATTACTCTGTTTCTGTTAATTCAATGGGACTTAAAATAGGAGAATGGATAGAGTTCAATTAAATTTTTTTAGGAAAACCGATAAAATTCTTATAATCTCTTCCTGTGCAAGCTCTGAAGATACTTCGATTTCTGAATTAAAACCACTCCTTATTTTTTTTATTCGTTCACCTAGGAAGTTAAAACTTAACTCTAGACAATCCCATATCTTCTGAGTAATTCCCTATCTGCTGCCTTTCTGGTAACTTGACTGAAGCATTCTTATTTCCCATTAGCAGTGTTGTACTGTTCACGAATACAGACCTGGGCTATTAAATTGCTTTATGTCACTAACCGCATAGCACTATCTCAGGATACTGTCCTTCATACAAAATTTTTCTTTTGCTAGTTCTACGTTTCAGCACCTCTAGTTGGGATAACACAGATTAATGATTTTTTCCGCATTGCATAACACTGTCACAGATCTTATGCGCATGAAGATAAAATAATATACCAGCTCTAGCAAACCATTGTTTACATTTAATAAGGCCATATTAATGTAACGTTTCCAAGACATCATGTCCTAGCTTTTGAGTTGTTCGAAAGAAAATTAAAAACGAGTGGGGACTGCAAATTAGGGCATTGTCGCAGTTCTAACTTCTTCCGCTCAGAGCCTAACGAGGTTCTTTTTTCTCTCTTTCCATAAATTTTAATTTTTTATGGCAGCAAAATCTACGTGTATGTCGTTCTGGAATAGCCGCTGCATTCGAGCAGATCAAAAATCGCTCAAATTCTGGCGCTTTCTTTGCAAGCTCGAAATCATCTCGATTTCGCAACTGAAATCGCCCCCAAATTTTAATAGTCGCTCACCTGGAAAATTGAAATTTAACTTAGCCAGTTCACAATTAGTTAGGCACTTTGAATTAATGATAAGAGCAATAAAGTGCAAAGAACTCCCTCGAAAAGAAATCTAATCTCCATAAGAAAAATATCATAATTTTATTTGCAATAAAACGCTAAAGAAATTTTCACATGCATAAAAATGCACGTGGGAACTTTACTTTTCTTTCACATCATAGAAAAAGCCAACTACCCAAGTTTAATTGACCAGGGAAGGCAAAACATGGAACACCTTCTACGTTTTTCTCACGGTACAGCTAGAAAAAAGATTTCCTTCTTACACTTTAGCATCCCTTTGCAAAACGCTGCAAATGGTAATCCCCTAATTTTCCTTTGTTTTAGATTAGCTTCAATAAATCCGGTGTGTTAATTTAAATTTCTTAATAATTACCAATAAGCTTATTAAAATTTCTTAATAATTAACAATCAGTACGCAAATTTAAATTTCTATAATTATAATTTGCGTATCGTAGTGTATAATGTTATATTAATTTGAACTATAATTAAAATTTTGAATCTGTTATAGATTATGATAGTTGAATGGTTATATGAAATTAAAATCGTGACTATTTTAAATACTTCTTTATTTTCTGCAAAAGATTATTTAAATAAACACACTTGGATGTAGGATGCGCATTCTGTATTCCATAACTAATAGCTTATTTTTCACACATTCATAAAATTGTAAACTACTGTAGAATAGGGGCGGCAGATGACATATTAGCGGTATTGTGGGAAGAGCGAAGATTGTAAGATCAGATTATGAAAACAGAGTTACATTACTGTTTTATTTCGGTTTGTTAATTGAGAGTTTGGGTTAATACCCTTTTCATTACTATCAGATTAAAATCTTCAGTTTCACTTTTGCCGTTATGAAAGTTCGTACGTCATTAGCGTTATGTACGAATCATATGACAGGAATTAATTTTGAAATGATGCACTTCAGAAAGATATCTGAACGCATTTCTGTACTTGGAGACAGAAAGTGAAAACAGCCAGATTTTAAAAAGAGACTTAAGGGGTTATTACGAATTAAAATTATAATTTTATCGTACATAATAGTTAGTTATATCAATTTGGAATTAACATGATGTATTTCTCCGTAGTCATATGAACAAGACCACCACCTATGAGAACCCTCGCAAAGACGGAGATGAAGAACCCCCTCAGCCGAGAGAAGTGGAGTTGGTTAGGGATCCTCAGATGGGTTTCGGATTTGTTGCCGGCAGCGAGAAACCTGTCATCGTCAGATTCGTAACGGAAGGTGAGTCTCTGAATTGTTAGACTGATCCGTATCTGAGTCTTTCAGTAGAATGATAAAATTCGTGAGTCTTCGAATGGAATTGTTGGTCTGTTGATCTCCTAATTCACTAATGAATACCATTAGATTTCTAAAATGTTTCTTTAAAGGTAGCAAAACTTCACACTAATGCATATGTGAAAATTCTATCGTGAATGTAGGATTTTAGAAAAGAATAAATTTTCGGTTGAAAAAAAGAAGTAAAATCATACACTTCGGTCATATACTTATCAATGATCATATACTTAGCAATGATCTTAAAAAGCGAGTTGTAAGCGATTTGCCTAAATAAAATGGCTTTTATATACAGTAAGACCCCGCTTAACGCGGGGGATACGTTCCATCAAAGTAAAGCGTAATGCGAAACAGCGCTAAACGAGGCTATCTTTACATGTAAATATTGGGGTTAGGGGAAGATGGCTAGGAAATTGGTTAGGTATTAAACTTAAAACGAATGTTTTTTTAATAAAAATAAACCAAACATTTATTTCTAAAGCCCAATTAATACCACATTATTATTTCTTGCAAAAATAAAACAAATATAATAACAAAACGAATATTCTTAAAAAAAAAAATAAATTCTAAGTCATTCATATTTAGTTTTGCCTTCCGCGTTTTCAGTGTTCTGCCTTTTGTGACAAAGCATCTAATGTTGTTTGCCTTTTTCTTTTTGCGTTGTTCTCTTCAAAGTTCTTCATAAACGGATAGAGCATCTCTACACCACGCCTTACTTTTGAGCTCCTTCAAAATTCGGATCATTTTCAATGAATTGATCCATTATTTCAGTTATGGTAGACAACTCCTTTTTACACAAACCATCGAAAGTTCTTTTGCTCTCTTCTGATCACTGCTGTCAACATTTTTGTTTTCTTCTTGTTCAGTTAATTCCTTGAGCCACATCATTAGAAAGACTAGCCGCTGCTCTTGAATATTTTCTTCGACATCTTTCCACATTTACCCCTTCAAAATATGTCTGTACAATACCGCACCAAACAAGAAATACAAGTACACTCTTTCGGATATGTATTTGAAACTATCGCTGCATAATATTTCGGGGAATCCCCGTATGCTGCGAGCGATTTCGTGGGATCCCCGGGTTGAAATAAAAGAGCGCTAAACCGAAACAGGGCTAAACGAAACAGCGTTAAGCGGGGTCTTACTGTATATGTAATATTTTGGCAGGACGGCAGTGGAAATTATGAAGCTTAACAATCTGGTCACTTCAGAGCCCGGGTGTGGTCGTAGCGAAAGTGGAAAACATCAGAATTGAAGACACAGAAGAATTTTACTTTTCGGCTCCATCTCTTTATACGATGCAAATGTCAGATCATTCAAGATTACATATGCGATAGTAATTTGAACTAAATAGTATTCACTTTATATTTTCTGCTTACTCACTATTCAAAGAAAGGGAGGCAGATGAGAAGAGCTGCAGCATCGGTCAACAGCAGTAGAGGGAGACAGCGGTCCTTTTTGACGCAAAATGGCGCGAATTTTTCAATTATAGGAGCGGTTACGTAGTATGCCTGAATGTTCTCGAAAGTACTGGTCTAGAGAATTGCGGAATGTTAATTAGAGGGTTATCTGTATGCCTGTATGCGTAGAGCAAAGCTATCGTATATTTTATATTTTATATATGTGTTACTGTGAAACACCGAAATCTGGAGAATGTCAATTTCGCCGGTGAATGTCAACATTCACATAGTCGCTTGGTGTATGTCCGAAATATTTTCCAAATACTCTTATTTCTGACTTACACCGGTAAATGTCGACATTCACCATGTGCTAATGGTGAATTTTGAACATATAAGAATATTATATTTTCTTCTCCGTGATTCAGTAGCGAAAAAACGCACTTGAGACTTAAAATAAGAACATAAGAACTTAAAGTACACTGTACATTCACAATTAGAAAAAGAAATAATAGAAGTTAAATATTTACTTAATTATACAGTGCGTTCTCAATGAGAAAATAAAATAATAGTAATAAAAAACTTACTAAATTATGTGATTAAAATCTTATTTATTGCAACAACTTAAACTATTATGACACTTTGAATTGTACATGAGGCCCTTGCTTTTACAACTACATTTATTTGTGGAGCCCTTCCTTCTGCAATGGCAACGTGTATAGCCTTGCCCACCGCTTCTCGAATTAGCTGCAGCTGCTTCTCTCAGCGACATTTCTTGAAAATAAATCTTATCTATGGAAAGTAACTTTTCTTTACAAATTACGAACTGATTACGTGCGTAAAGCTGCTTGGTGGTTACCATTTTCGTTTGCAAGTTTATAAACGTCGGAGTGTTCTATTCCAACAACAACCGCTAACACATTTCAGTTATCTGTACGACCACGGTCGACATCAGGGACTTGTATTCGTACAGTATCACAATTTGAGCAGGAGGAAATCGTGTTTTTGTGAAGTTCCTAACATTTCTGTTGCTTGCAGTTAAAGATTCTCTTTCGCAGCCGCTCTTTTTATAGAAATTAACTCGTGTTTTTCAGTCAGAACTTGATGTGATGACGTGATAGATTGCAAGTCCTCTTCAACATTTTTTTTTTTCTGGAATGTGATTTCGGTATGACCATCGCTCAAATGTTTTTCAGAAGTATTACCAGTTTCTTCAAGCTGTTCTTCGGTTTCAAAAGTATTGGCAATTTCTTCTAGTTGTTCTTCGGTTTCGATATTTATGCTATGCCTCTTTATGCTTTATAAAAGACGATGCTATGCCTCTTTTTGCTTTAACGCCAAACATGGCTTCATAAAGACTTTGGCATATTCCTTCGTGGTAATGTAGTGTTATTGCAAATTGAACAAGGGTAAACCATCTGTCCATTTATTTGTATCGTTATCGTTCATCCATGCAGTTAGCATATTCTGTATATCCTGATTGGCTCTTTCAACTGAGCCTTGTGTTTGACTGTAATGAGACTTTCCATGAACTATCTTAATATCATTCCGCATAGTACGTATTTCGGATATGACTTGATTACTGAATTCTCTACCATTATCTAATTGCAATATAGCTGGAGCACCAAATGTTAAAAATATTGTAAGAACGTGATATGCTACTTCTTCAGCTCTCTTAGTTTTCGTCGGTAGTAAGCTCTCTTAGTAAGGTCGTAGCTGGACAAGCTTAGTTAAATGATCTTGATACAACAATATGAACTTAATTCGCCATCTCTGTTTGACTGCAGATCTATCAGATCAACATGATATCTTGAGTTTAACTCAGAACAGTTGAATTGTGTTTCATTTGACACTGTTTGCATAAATTTAAATACAACATTACAACTTCATATGTAATATTTTTGTATTTAATTTGCAACTCTTACATGTTCTTCCTCCGTGGCTTATTCTGGTGTGAGTTTCATATAGTGTACTGAACAATTCCTCATTGGTAACATAATACTGTATATTCGTTTCTCTTGGTTTTAATGGTACAATTAACTTCTCTTCATCATTAATTTTTAAAACGTCAAAACGTTTTAATCGTCTGCGATCTAAAGGTGTGTTGCACATAGTTTTAGCAGAAACCACTTCAGAAAGTATTTTAGGGTACTTTTCTTGAGAAAATTAAAAACAATTGTCTTCTCGTTTACCCGCAATTAATGCACTCTATACTCTGAAATCGGCATACTTTTTCCCCTTTTGCTTCGGACTCCGAAATTATCTTTACCTCGATGTTGCTTCTCTTCGGGCAGCAAAGCACATTAGAGCTATCGCATAAAGGCAGCCTTTGTAAAGAATTTTCTAATGGTAATTAACTGGCTTGTTAGTTTGACGCCTGGAAATAAAAATTTAACTCGTGTACTACGTACTCTGAAAGTAACTAAGTACTCTGAAACTAACAGGACTGATTTTGAAAAAGCCTCATTCCACATTTGTGTCTCAAACATTTGTTGTAGCGTCTAACGCCACTTTCCTAACCTAGTCAGAAAAATCCCACGAATTTTATCATGGCAAGGAGTGCTCGTTGGCATGAGACCCTTAACATGTGACAATACGGCTTTGCCCAGTTCTGACCCAGTTTTGTAGTAGATCACTCCGGGGATTCGAATGGCTTCCGCCCCTTTTCCCTTACTGTCAGCCACTCGAGAAGACTTTCAGCTCACCTTATGTTTTGAGTGCACTACTGCCGCACAGACGCTACACATTTATACACGCCCATGCCTTCTTCGGGATTCGGGCTTTGGCCCAAAGGTACGGTAATCATTGTCTTCAACCGCTATACCGAATGGGCGGCTCTCAAAGTATTTAAAAATGACCATTTAAGAAAAAAAAACTAAAATTTATATCGTTCAAAGGGGAACTCAATAGTATTTTTTATAACAGTTTATTTTTAAGAATAGATTTTACATGCGTACCAAAATTGGAGCTAATATAAATTCGTGAGCGAATGTAAATATAAATGTTTATTCCAAAATATACGGATAAAGCAATGAACGTTTTGATGGCATCAAAAGAAATAAAATTATACTAAAAATATTGCATATAGTTGCGTTTTTCTTCACGTACTGTAAGAGTTCGTGGTTTTGGGGTCAATAACGACGACACTTGATGAAGTGTCGAAACACAATTTATTAGCCAGTAATTATTCAAGACAGCTCCAAAGACAAGTTTGCAGTCGTCGAAGAACTACTATATACATGCTGAAACAATCAGCGACACAGCATTCAGGCTATTTGGCTATAATGTTGAAGACAGCTTCACGACAAAGCACCAGAGTACAACTTCCAACTCGGTCTTTCTCGGAACTCTTCGCACTCTCGATACTCTCCACGCTACAACTCGCAATGCACTCGACGATACACTAAAGTACAGCTCCCGACTCGTTTCGGTCGTTTTCAGAGCTCAACACACTCTAAAATAAAACTCGTCGATGCACTAACTCGCGATACACTAAGAGACTCTCTCGATGCAGTCGACGACCAACTCGGCACTAGACTACGAGACACTCGC